GGCTTTGGGGGTTCCCGGAAAGTGAACGAGAAGATCACCAGGATGAACCTGGAGATGCAGCGGAGTATCAGGATTGATATCTATCCCGTTCGGATGTCTCGTGTAGGCATTGAACCAACGGAGCGGGCAGTATACGGTCGATCGAGCAAAGTACTCGTTCTCAGCCAGGACATTGCTGATCGCTGACTGTTCGAACCAGATAAGCTGGACGTCAGGCTTCACGACCGGGTAGGCGATGGCGGCCGAAAGTAATTCCACCGACCAGGGATGGACGCGAAGAAAGAAGACCCCGCTGTGCAGCCCATTCCAGTCCCTGCTCACCAGCAGGTGAGCGTTTGACAATTCTGGCGGGGGAAGAAATGTCTCCAAAGGCATGTCCGGATTCATCAGCACCGTGTCGCCGTCGAACCAACTGTGCAGCGTGTTTCTCGTCAGTGTTCAAGTCTGACCGGTTTGGTCAGTGTTTCATAGTGCAAGGTACCCACAAGAGCCACTGCAATCGCTGTTCCGCCGGCTTTTCCAGTTCCCGTAGCAGGACTGACTGAAGAATGGCAAGCTTGTTCCAAATCCCATTCAGTATTGGGTTCCGCAGAACCGTAAGAGGGTAGCCCAGTCGCCGACTGTGCTCCTTGTGTGTCTCCAAAGTTCTCTCGTATATCGAAATGTTCCCGTAGATCATCGTCACCTTTCCTATCGTCGGGGTATGCCGAAATGCCTCCGGGGCCGCAATTTTGTCTGTAGTCTGTCAGCAACACGTTTATCGTAGATGATTAATGCTCCGCATGTTAAGAAACATACAGTGGTTAGAAAACAGACTCAGTAGCCCAAAGACACCGAGAAACGCCAAAAGTACGTGTCCAACAGCGTTGAACTTGAGCCGCCGGCTGCCAATCTCGTACGACTTGGCCATGGTGGGCTCAGACTTCCATGATAACATTTTCGCGATAGTAGATCCAGAAATTCAATTCGGGACCTCATCAGATCATTCTGTCTGGAGAACTTAAAGGAATCTTCTTCAAGCTCCAGCACTTGAGCAGGTAGTGTTGCGCCCACTATATTCCTGCATAGGTAGGCGCCGGCTTCGCGCGCCGAGCCATCAACTGGCCCAATAGTGTTGAGATGCTCAACAAGAGAGCCCGTTTCGAAACTATCCCTACTTGGCGCGTCTCAGTTCACTGCCCTGTAAAAGTGAACTAAAGTCATCAGCCTTGTACATTAGTGAGATTGAGGGATCTTCCTGGTGCCTGCGGTCTGTCGCGTAACTGGACTGAGGAAGGAAGCTCTCGATGGGCCTAATCTTAGGTTTATTCAACTGCCGCCCAGCCTAATCGTACGGCTGGCCAGAGACTCAACCATCGCCCATTGGCGGCAAGAATGTTACAGCGCTTATGCAAACGCTGAGATTGGCTATTTGGAATTAACGAGCATTTGCACAAGAACATACGGGTCTACCAGCATGTTTCATGGAAAGCCAATCGCCTTGGCTAATATCTCCAATTTCTATCCGCCAAAACCTATTATTCCGGATTTCAGGATCAAGTCAGCCATATCATATATGTACAGAGCACACTGACACGTTACTTACCAAGACAAGGAAGCAACATCGCCGAATTGTACCTTGAATACATCGTCATAGAGAAGGATCAGACATTTGTGAAGCTCCCAGCTTGACAATTTAGCTCCATCACTGCAGGGTAAGTTTTGTGATCGAGGGCCTCCGCAGCTGGACCCTTGGTACCTGACTGTAGATATCATCCACGACTCAAGCCAATAGGCGTCTGCAGGGACTTGGAGCCAGCCGCCAGGGCTTAATATAGCTCAGCTCGTTCGTCGATTACCGTAGAAACTTCGGGTCTACCGATGATAGGGTGAGCTCGATCCCGGGGCTAACATCATGAGATGTAACCGCCTATCTGTATATAGTTGACATGCGGCCTCGTTTGCGCCCCTTCGGTGACTAATTCTGTATCTAAGTAGGATGGAGCCAGGATTCTGGTAGTCCAGGGACAGAGTGCAACCCTAAATGATATAGTACCGTTCACGCAGGTTTCTCTTAAGGTTAGCCACACCCATTGACTCGGTCGTACGATGTCGATTTTCCGTTAAACTGAGAACAATCTCGAGGTCTCGAATCTTTTTTTGAAGATGAGGGTGGTCAGCATACCAGCTCCACAGACGTGGGCGTCCACGTCTGTCTCTACGACGACACTCCCCATGCCAACCAGGTTCACGCCACCGACAGGCTGTGCGAACTCCTGGACATGGGAGCCTTACAGCTACAACTGGGTAAAACCCAGCGGCCTCTTGATACAGAACTGCGAAACCGTGGTCAGCTCTTGTTTCCCTTCCGGATTTGCGAACGTGGGAAGGACGGCGGCGACACAAGTCTATAACCCTGGTGCATGTCCTGTGGGATATACCTCTGCTTTTGTCGCCGTTGGTGACCAGGTAACCACTGCAGTATGCTGTTACTCGTGCGTGCTCTCTCATCGTTCTCTAAGAAATTTGGCGTTTGTTCTGAATGCTGATCTATGGCTCCAGTAATTTCGTGTACACTACCACGGAAGCGAGCTATAGTGATGGACCGCCATCAATGTACGCCGGATGTACGAGCTACCTCCCAGAAAAAAGCTCAACATTCGTTTTCGCCCGAGGAGCAAGGGCCGACCTGGATGTACAGATTACCGGCTCCATGATCATGTGGGCGCAGCCTATCACAATCGAATTTGTGGATTCTGATCTGTCCCGGCTTGGAATCAAATATGCAACCGGTACATCCACCTCCAATCCCACAGCCACGGCGTTAACAACCGACACTTCAGCCTCGCAACAATCCAACACAGCATCATCCACCACCTCGGAGCCGTCGCAGACTTCTCTAACATTCGTCAACATCAACACGTCGCAGACCTCTTCCGGTGCCCAGGGCTCGGTTCGCAACCCTTCTTCAACCCCCTCCGCTGGCCTGTTCTTATCAACAGGCGCAAAAGCCGGAATTGGCGTCGGTGCCGGAATCGGCGCCATCCTCATCTCGGTCTTTCTCTTCCTATGGGTCTCGCGTCATCGCAAAGCAAAGGCGAACGCGGCTACGATTTATGTTGCACCTGGGGGTCATCTTCCATACTACTGCAACACCGAAGGACTACGAGGAGGATTTCCCGCGCGAGCCGGGAATATGAAGCAAGCACGTGGGCCACCAATGGAACTGGATAATGGGGACTATTCTAACTACTCTGGCAAGTATCTGCCGGAACTTCATGGTTGAGGCTCTACTTTTTCTCTTCCTCCTGACCTTTTCTTGCTCTGGCTTTTGCCGTATCCAATTTGAACAGCAAATTTTAGTGGGCGGTGTCATTGCCTTGAATGAGACCATGTATATAACTATTGTTCACCAGGTAGAAATTGGATATCACATTAGTTAGACTACGATTAATGAAGCTCAGACGAGGAGACTAGACGATCCCATCGGCATTTGTCACCGCATTGCTCGTGACTTTTGCCCCGATAGACCTTGAATAACATCAACCTCTGTCGCCCTACAACATCATAATGCTGTGCATTGCAGGTGTGCAGGGCGTAGTGAGCGTCTTTCACTAAGTTTATTGTGATGACGCTTCAACACGCTACACAAGTACCTGGAAAGCAGTGGCCATGCCTGTGTGTGCTGACAGTGGACACACTCCTTTGAGTACGATGTATTCTCCAACAAAGACATTCGAGCCTCGAACTGCCACTAGCTCGATCTGCCATAGAAAGACTTATTACCCATATCGAGTATCAATTAGTTTTGCCCTGCTTTGATCTATTGACATGTATATACCTTGATATATAAACCGCCTCGCCTCTTCTCAACTTTCATCTGCATCATTATTCTTAACTTGGGAGTCCTTTACCAGAGACATGTTCCTCGCCTCTTCTCCATGCCAAACACAAATCAACAACTCAATCAATCATATACTCACAGTAACAATCCAACGATTGCCCATCATGAAACTCACCCTCTTGACAGCGCTCCCCACCCTAATCATCACCCCCCTCTCCGTCCTGGCACATCCAAGTCCACACCCACCCACCGTCCTCCGGAAATGCATGCCCCTCCTCGGCGACCTCGGCGAAGACGAAGCATAGTTCATTGCGAACCTGCAGTGTATTTATGCTGTAAGTCATTATCCTTTTTCCTTACCAGTACTGACTTGACTTGCCATAGTGCCAGAACAGTGGATTCAATGGGGGTGGGTGTGATAGGGCTGCCTAGTAAGTTTACCTTACCCCTTAAGCAGAGGTGGTTTTGCTGATGGATTGCAGTGAGTGTCTCTGTTCTTGGGAAGTTTGTCTGTATTAGCCGGGGTCGAGTGCGTTGATAATGAGTCGGTTACATTCTGGTGTTATGGAGACTTTGAGTGATATTAGAGATGTTTGATTTAGATATAGATGGGTGCACAGCCACTCATTCTCAAGATCACTATCGCCGTAACAAGCATCAATAATTATTCTAGTTCCAATAACATTAGCATATGTATGTTAATATTCTGACAAAGAATGTAAATGTCTATTGTATTTGCTTTCTACATGTTTGAGTCATACCAACTGATCCTCTCTTTTCCTCTCTACCAAGGATAGAACGTGATAGGCTGGTTCTAAGACAATGATAATATAGAGCACTTGTCCTTGTCAAGTTATTTAATTAATATAATTATGGCACGGAGAACAGCCTTGTACAGAGTCTATCTCCTACATACCCGCATTGCACTATGTACAGGGCAGGACATTGAGTCATAAAGTCCAGGCCCTTTACTATCGTGCGCCTGGCTTGGCACTTTAATCTTAGTCTAAGGTTACATTGCTTGCACTTCTTAGCGACTAGACTAAGCCATGAGGCTGAATAGTGAGTCAGTTGCGGTAGTGCTACTAGTTTGTGTAGCCGAGTCAATCCTGGAGCTAATGCTATATAAGCTTGCAGTCCCGGCACAAGTCGAACCACCATTCATATCTCGATCAAGATGGACCTCCAAACGCAGCTGGAGCCAAGGCTCCTCTTACAAAAGGCACCACCCGCCATCGCTCGCCATTTTCAAGATCTGATCAAATCTGGAAGCGCGGATATCCACGCAATCAACACACATTTGCTTTCTCAAGTGCACAGTGAATCCATCCCCCTGGTCGTCTACGAGATCTGGTTCCCTCTGGCGATAAAGCATGCCCCTGAACTCCTCCGTGGCGCACTCACGGACCCCATCTCCTGCGGCGTCCGCAAGACAAGTATCCACGCCCTACGACGCATGTTCCACAGTAGGAAATGGAAGGACACGTGGGATTTCCTGGGGGGCGCGGCCGGCATCAAAGAGATCATTGACAATCTCCCCATGACCGAAGTGAAACGGCTTGCGTCGGTTATTACCGACATCAAATTCCAGGGCAATCGCGAGGTGATCTCAACTTGTGTGGAGGAGCTGCTCCGCCTTGTGGCCCAGTCGGATCGCATGACTGGTCGGCTGATATCGCCTGCTCTTGCCCCGTTAACCCAGCTTTGCAGTGAGAGCTACGTGCTTGGGTATCTCAAGCGACAACACCAGCAGGATGACCCGTTCCAGCGGCGCTTGGAAGAACTAGGGAGTCTGCACTTAGATCTACTGCGGAGGATTGTCGTGGGAACTGTTGAAGCCTCGGAGGATTTGCGTGCCAAAGTCTTCTCTTCCCAGCCCCAGGCTCTCGTGCGCTCGCAGCAGGAGTATGTACCAGTATACCTCCCACCCGATATGCCCGCCGACGTTCACCCTGGCATGGCATTTTGTCTCGACGTGGTCCACGCCCTTTCTGCAAATGCTGGCTTCAAGCGCAGTATAAGTAGCCACATACCGGACTTGATCGACGCTACGTTAAAACTGGCAGCGAAAAAGGAGTCTGCCTTGCACGTTGTACTCAAGTTCGTCAAGCACATCTTGCCGACATACTTCCAGCATAGTGAGCAGCGCTGGTACATGGAGTCCTCGTTGCCGTGCGAGATCGTCCGATGGTGGTCTATTGCTCGCACGGGAAAGATCCGGTATAAGTGGCGCTTCTGGCTGCAGAGCATCTTTTCTCACCATGGCGCAAAGTGCTTCTCCCCCCATCTGGAACTGCTGGAAGACTTGCTCCTCCAGACGCTGCGGCAGCAAGCCGATCGGAAATTCAATGTTCGCAAAAACCCCAAAGAGTTTCGCAATAATCTGGGCCGGTATGTATGCGATATCCCAATGGAAGAACGACTGACCTTCATCAAATTCCTTTGTCGCAATCTGCCATCTATCAACGTGGATCTCAATACATGGCCCCCTTCAGAGCGCGAAAGCCAACTCCTTCCGTACTGGAAAGAGGCAACCCTGCGAGATTTACCCACGTCCGATGCAAAATGGCTTTTTGGTCGCATGCTGGCGATCCACGGTTGCGAAGAGTTTCTTCCAGACCCCGACGGCGCCTCAGCGGATGAAGATCAAATGACATGGACGGACCAGTGCTTGTTGAAGATAGATTGGGAACTGGACGAGGATACGAGTGGCCAGCTTCCTATTACCCGTAAAGGTGTGTCCACCGTGATCTTCATATCATGCAATGCTGACGCGTGCAGCGCTGGCGGAGTCGAAACGTCGGGCAACAAGAGACAGAGACCCTCAACAAAGGTTGACCTGGGCTACTGCCACCCTGCGATTTGCGATCGCGAGCATGTCCTTGGATATCTTTCAAGAAACTGTGGAATGGAGCAAGCGATTCCTTCGAGATCCGGTTGTCTTTCCGGGACTATTGGATATCCTTTTCAGCAGGAAGACAGCGCCAATCGTATCCCGCACATACATTCTACGCCCGAGAAGACCGGAAACACTTGCTGAATTGAAAGCAGTGGTGAAAAAGGGTAACCAGGTTCTCCGGTCGTACTTGGACATCGCACACCTTATTGTCCGCGAGCCGCATTACCAGAGGAATTTGACCAGCGGCATCCCCTACCTCTTTGGCGAAATAATATCCAGGAGAATCGAGGAATTTGGGATGGTTAGTGCAGGCACCGAAGCCGAACGCGTCGACATCCTGCTGTACTCTTTGCTGCCTATTATTCTCGAATTCGAGCGCCTGGCAAACAGCGAGGACCCCGACAAGTTCACATGGAGCGGCTTCAGTGGTGCAGTTTCTCGCATTGACTGCCTCGATGACGAGGACAAAGCTGTGCTCCCTTTCCTGGATCGTATGGCGTACGAACGGAATCAATTCTGGGTCGAGAAAAGGATGGACGAAAACCCCGAAATCATGGATCTACCCCTAGGCTTCCCGCGAGGCCTTCCCCTGGAGTATCTCCTCCCAAGTTTGGAACTGACCCAACTTGCCAACAAGTACCCGGATGATATGCCATACGTAGCGTCCAGACTTGCTGATCTGATGGTGCCATCCACGGGTGTGATGCTGAGTGTCGTCCCAGCTAGTGCTGCCAGAGACAATTACCCCATAGACTCCCTTGATTACGGGGTTCGAGCTGTCATAGAAGATCCTTCGGAAGCAGTGAAGGAAAAGGAGCTCTTGCAGATCTGGGAAATGTTCTCTGCTACCCTGCGCCCCTATCCAGATCAGTTGGAGATCTTTAAGGAATGGCTTGCTGGGTTGGCCCGTCGAGAAGGCTTACGAGAGGCGGCCAAAATAATCCAGCCGCCGCTTCCCCCGAGAAAGTTTTGGGTGACCGCATACTTTGAACAGTGTTTCGATATGGATCATGTGGTTGAATGGGACCCTCGCCCGGACCCTGCTCTTGTGGACAGTCCAAGCGCAGAAACTGAGCCAGAAGAGCGGAAGGTTGAACGAACGATCCTCATCTGCCGCATGAATGCCGTAGATCGAACCATCAGGAACAATATTCAGCCAAAGGAGAGTCCATTCTGGGTTTGGTATCACACCGAACGCTCGGTGCCAATGTCACAGCGTGAAGCAGTCGCGCTTTCTGCGCTCCTATACATCGACACTCTTAACCAGCGGACGACGCGAATCCTACGCCGTCCCTGGCCGCAAAATGTCTCCTCGCCTCGATACCCGGCCATCTTCCTCGCAGATGAGTTTCTGACTGCCGTTGCCAAAAAGGGTGCCATCCATGATGCGGCAAAAGCTCTTGAGAAATGCGTGAAGTTTGTTCCCGCGCAACTGCTCCGTGAAGTTGTCGTGTCGCTGCTCAAGATGCTCGCAGAGAATTCAGAGAAAAAGCAACCGAGCTATTCCACAATATTATCAGTCACGATGAGCTTGATCAAGCTCCTGCACAAAACAGACCAGCCGCAACTGGCTATTGATGTTGTGCTCCAAGTCCTCAAGTCATTCCCAGACGCATCCTCGTACCATCGGCAGATGAGACTATTGAAGCTGGGGACGCGACTCCTGCCGCACCACGCCGCTCAAATGTTCAACACGTTTGCCAACTTCGTCTGCAACGCCGGTAAACCCAAGGCCGAAGAGTCTGATGGTCATGATCCATCGACAGAGAATCCGCCCTATGTTAAGATCACAACAATCAAGATGCTCGCCCAACTCCTCGCCGACGCAACCTTCGTCGACATATCCACCTGTATTCGCATACTTCAAAATATCTTCGATTCAAACCACCACATTGATGTTCGCACTGAAGTTGTCATGGCAGTTCTGCGACAGTTCCACCGCGTGGCAGACGTGACACCGGTATTTACTGTACTCGCCTCCATGGCGAGCGCCGCTTCTGGCCCGAGCGAACGAGAAGCTATGTCGGAGGCCGACTGGCTTGCCGCCGAAAAAGGAGAGAGACCTCTTCCAGAAGTCGCTCCCGTATACGATCGCCCCTTGTTCGGTTGTTTCCTCAGAACCGCGTTCTCCTTACCTAAACAATCCCGCAAAGAATACGTGCACAAGGTACTCCTCCCGCTATTGGAAGAATCAGCTCGGCAGCACGCTCGCTGGATTCGATGTTTCCTGTCAGAGGTCCACCTTACTCCTGAAGAAGACAATGCCATCACGTCACTCAGTAAGATCTGGACCTTTGATCCATCCGCCGTCGACTCCCTCTTCGATACCTGGGGACCATATCTCCCGAAATCCTACCTTCGCCGACACAGGTGCTGGGCCCTCGCTTACATCCAGTACCCTCACGTGGAAACGATAAACAAGAAACTTTCTGCGAAAAATAAGAGGTGGCAGGGCAGTGCGGAGGGAAAGCACTGGCTCACTCTAGTGTCGCACCTGCGTAGCCCTAGACCTTTCGCCGCAATAGGCAAAGATATCGCTGCGGGAGTGCAAACGCAGGTGGAGGGTGACATAACAGCCTCCGACCTCGTGGACGAGTACATCTGTCGCGCGGGGATAGTGACCCGGCACCCGGTGAGATTTGACAAGGAGCTCGATCGGTTCGTGGTTTCCGTAGAAACGAGTTTGGAGTCATTGAAGATCTTGAATGGAAAGATGAGGTGTGTAACTGATCCTGGGCGGTATGACTTGCTGCAGAGGATGATGGAGCGGATTGTCACGGATATCGAGTCGTTGAGGACGGCACAGTGGATGGAAGATCCATACAGGTCGCCTGCTGTCCTGCCGTCGAGGTTCGCAATCGAGATGCTGCTTCTGCCATCGCCGACGTACAATGCTCGCACAAACAAACCAGGAATGGAGTTCGGGAGGAGACTTATGGACCTCGTGAAAAGGTTTGCCGACAATCCTGTGTTGGTGGTTGAGTTTGACGCTGTCAAGGAGCAGGTGGACGACGTGGAAGAGAAGGACCTCGGGTCCTTTGCCCTTCTCTTTGGGAACGATGGCGAGGAAGACCAGGAAACACTGTATCGGCGCTTGAAAGTAGACATTGCCCGGTGCGCTTTGAAGAGGATTGAGTCAGGGGATTTGCGGCAGAACAAACAGTTGATGGCAATGATTCGCAGGTGGAAGGCGAGCAGCAGTGAGTGGGTGAGACAGGTCGGATGGAGTTTTGATGGAACTTTCTGACAACATGGTGCACTGGGAATATGATTCCCGCTATCAATATCAGCACCAAGAAAATGTTATCCACGATTCTATCGAAACAGTATACATTTCAACGGACCACGTAGAAGCCGTTCATAGTAATCTGTCGGTCTCGCATTGCCGCTATAGGAGATCTCACGCCGAGCCAATGTAGTGGGACACGTTCAACGACCTTCTGGCCACGGGCCCGTATGTTTTCAACTCCCTCTTTGGTACGGTCAATCACTCCGGCTTCTCTTCGACTGTCCGGTCCCCAAGCAGGGTACTCCAGCACATTCTGGGCGTATTCCGCGTCGCACGCATCCGCCAACATGGCCGCTTCAGCAGCGGCATTTCGCGCTTCCAGCAATTCCTCCTCACTCGTTCCGCGGGGTGGCGGCACATCAGGTCGAAGAAAACCAAGCACACGTACCTCGACCCGGGATTGAGACGGGAGTTGGACCTCCTCGAGAAAGCGAATAGTGGTGGCTCGTTTCGTGACCTGAGACATGTTTACACGCGCTTGCTGAGAGGGATCCAGATTGCGGATGGCAAGGATGGCCTGGTACCATTGAGGACCCGAGGATTCGCTAGTCTCTTGGGCGGCTAGAAGTCGTGCCCAGCCGAAGAAGAAACCATGTAACCGGTCCAAAATCAGATCGGGGACCTTACTGAGTCGCATCTGTTGCATGTCATAGGCCCCTTCTCCTGGCACGGCTTCAGCTCGTGCCTTGAAGCTCACCGGGAACGGCGGGCTCGGTCCTGTCTCTAAAGAGATCGATTCCTGTTGACCGCGCGCCATTGCCGCCGTAGGGCCCTGATTACTGTTGTCGTCGCCTGGTCGCGTCGACACGCCAATTCCGTATGCTGTCTCAGCAGCAGTCTGTGTCACCCATGAGGGCTTAAATGGTTGAATTGTCGATTGTACGAGTGATGTGGCCGGGTTGATGGCGGTCTGCGCCGCCGTCTGCGCGTATAGCCCCAGCACCATCGCACCCACCTCCAACGGCAGGGTAGCCAAGCTAGCTCCACGAATGGAGCTTGGACTAAGCGAGGTGGAAAGGATGCGAAACACTGGACTCGTGCAAAGAACCTTCTTTTTCGGCCCCTGACACAGTACAACCTGAAAGTACCCGTCGCCGGCCTCAGCAGGGATCCGTGCAACGGCCGTCTCGCGCAGGCGATGTGTATCGCGCACACGCGACGGGGCCTTTTTCAGAAACTTGGCAATGTCACGCTGCCATGCCCGCTCGTCGTTTGGCTCTACTTGGTCGGAGCGCAAGGCCAGAGTGGGTGTGATGTCCAGCCAGTCATCTGTCAGTCGGAACAGAGCCTTGGCGCGCATCCCCGTTTTTCCTGTCCAGCCCTTGTTCTGGAGCCATAAGGAACGATCGGACGGTACAGGGGCGTCAGAGAAGATAGAGATCGTGACAGATGTAGTACTGCCACGATAGAAGATCACGCCGGGTGAGTGGCGTAATATGGTAAAATGCTTATTGGACTCTGCAGGACGACTGACGAGTCCACCCAGAAAATGCCGGGCTTCACCAAATGCTTTTTGCACAGTTACTGAAGCCGACGACTGAGAGGTTCGGGGTTCCGATGCAGGAATCATGTCCGTTGCAGCGCGCTGGACTGAGGTGGAAGGCCAAGCATTGCTATCGCAGTTCCTCTCGCAGCGACCAGAATAGGGGTCAGCAATAGTGTTGGCGGATGCTTTGGACCTCAACGGTGGGCGCGGAAGCATTGGAGGTGGAATATCTGCCGACGAAACCATCGCTACACCCCTGATGGTCGGACTGGGCAGTTGTGAAGAATATCTGTCACCATCATTGTTATAGCTTTGATGGAGGTAGGGATTGGAGACTGGTTTTCGTCGAATACGGAACTGAGGTGGATCCGGTGGATGCAGAAATAATTCATCAGCGGGAGTCATTGTGTTAAAGTATAAGAGATATATAGTAGTTAATTTGATATAGAAGCAAAATCATGTTGATTGATCGATGATTGTTTTGGTCCGGTAATCCTGTTGAATCATTTGATGGAAAGACAAAGTGGATGACGCCGATCGGATGAGAGACGCACCGGATTGGAGAAGCATTGCTTAGTAAGCTTGTTGTGTGCATAACCCTATTTATCCAGAGTATCCAATGATATGATGCAGTTCCTTTTTGGGAGCTCCCTTTGTCCACTGCCAGTCTCCAATTCCTGCTGCTGCTCTCTAGCTTGAAGTGCGGTGCTTGTTCGTGCACATGCAGCCGCATGCTATTTTAAAGGCATAAACATCTCACTGGGACCCTTTCGAAGACCGTGATAAGCCAGAGCTTTGATCCCTAGCGGCCTGGCAGGAAGCAGGCGTACGGGGCCAGGACAGGTAGAATACCAAGGATTCCCTTGCGTAGAATGACATTACCTGTCTATATCTTAAGGAACATTATGGCACTACGTCTGGCTAGTTGACTAGGTATCTTATCCATAACCTCATATTATTCGATGTAGAAGACATGGGTTGATACATAGTCTCCATCCAGAAAGCGAGGTATGCAGCTATACTTTCATCTCATGTAGATTGCCAAGTCCCCGAGACAGTCGTCCATGTCAACCACTGGAGCCTGCACGTAATGACTGACCATCTTGCGTACGCGCGAAGAATCCGGATCGGTGGTGTAGGGGCTGCTACAGTCAATCTTTGTGCATTGAGCAGAAAGTGCACTTGAACATACCAAACCCAGGTTACCTGGCCATTCCTGACACGCTGTTCCCACTTTGCGACATCTGGCTCGGAAGTCCTGACAGTGTTCCAAATCATCGCCGCGGGCCACTGAACATCAGCAATGATCTGCTTCACGGGCACGTTGGGGCTGACGCAAAAGACGAGAGTGGATTCGTCGACGGCGAGGAACCCCTTTGGATCGTCCAGCGGGGTGATACCAATGCTTCTAAGCAATGCCATATCGACCTCGTCGTATGCAGGGTCCTGCGCAAAGCATCTTATCTCCTCGTTCCGTTTGCCTTGTCTCGCCTTCAGTGCTTGCACCATGGTTGCAACGGCAGCATGCTGGGTGTGGGACCTGTCAGCGCTGCGGGAGTTCAAGCGGCCCAGAGTACCCAGTCCAAAGCAGACGATCTTGGTGATCGGGCGAGAGAGACTCAGAGTAGTCAGCTGCTTCTGCAGAACCTCGCAGGCCTCGCTAGTCTGCCACACTTCGCGTTGTCTGTCGAATGCCTCTTGTACTTCATGTAGAGGATTCTCGGGTTTCTTGTCGTTTCTGGTGTAGCATATCGCAACGGGAGGTTGGTCACGAAGAATCTCATCTGGCATGAAAGGGTTGACGGTGGTCATAGCTTGGATGCTACAGTAGGAGATGCGGTACGAGTTCCTAGACGCTGTCAGTCATTGCTTCACCTTAGGGCGACCAGCAGTGTCTTACGCCCAATCTGCACACCATGCCGGAACCTTGAGGCTATGTTTCTGAGGAACGCCATCCAGATCTGCAATGTGCACCTCCTCACGTCCCTGATCGATCTGACGACTGAGGTCTTGAAGAACATCGCGAGGGAAGAGAGGCTGTCCCAAGGCATACGCCTTGAGAATACGGCGAACCTTCTCTTCTGCGGTGACCCACTGCTCCTCCTCCATTGCCATGGTGCTGGTTAACGAGGACATAGTGTATGGGAGTAAGAGAATATTTTCTACGTCAGGTGTGATTACTTGTTGAGAGGGCGGTGGGAAACAATCACTCTTGGCCGTGAATATTCTTAGTCTTCAGTCACTGTCCTGAAGAACAAGTGAAGGCAGCTGGTCTGGCTGCCTGAGACTCATTTAAATAACCAAACCGTTCATCTGCAAAGGTGTGGTGTGGAAGCTTTATCTTCTGTAGCTCAAAAATAGCCATATTCCTTGATGTTGGATCGATCAGAACAGCCTTCATCGGATGTTTGCTCCTCTCTATTTTCTTACTCTCTGGGCTACACAAGACCATCACTCGCATGGGCCTCACCGCCATCGTCGACTCAACGATCCAGGCTGTGTACTCTTGTTCCAACAGGCTAATCCTGTCCCAGCAGCCTCATTGGTCCGGGACGAGAAGACCATCCTATTAATATCCGAAACTGTGTGATTTACCTGGAGGGACCCCAACTAAACTACTATATTGGGTCATATTAGGGATATTTTTATCCCAATGAGCCAACTGTTGGTTGGTTTCATGCAAATTAACGGTGATTTCTGTCGATCTCCCTTTGCCCTTCTCGTACATCTGAATGCACGCTAAGCCTTCATGCATGTCATATCCGAACTTGCCAAAGCCCCCATAAACCCCGATGATTCCAACAAATCCTCCTTATCCGATTGGACTTGTCTCCCGTCTATTAAGGGTCAAAAATCTGGCCCTCATCCATATCTCCAGCCACGGATAATGTAGCTGGACCATCCTCCGACGTGGCGAGCCGATGAGTTGGCAGCGAACATGTGGTGCAGTACCTCGGCGATTTTGGCTACACGCCAGCACATTTTGAGTTTCATTGTCCTTGGCAATCTTTTCGTCCCCTGCATATGACACACGTGTCACTTGCTTATGAATATTGGGCTGCGTGACTGAAGGATTGGACGTGTCTTCTTCATCTACGCGTGCCGTCTTCGTATATATGTGTGCCTGGTCATCGCCCCGGGAACGCTTCATTTGTCTAATGCCAGAGTTTCGCTTACTTAGGTTTTGGTAGGGTTTGAATAGTACCTTCAGAAAATAAGCATCAACCCCGTTCATAAAAATTGTCTGTCAGTACACATCTCTATTCGCGAATAAGGCAGTTCCCTTTATAAGAGCTGCCGGCATTACGTCCCACCAACCGCAGAGACTCTGCTCCATTTCTCTCGGCATCGGGTTCTGGACCGATCCAAGCGTCCGGGAACAAGTACCGATTAGAGAGACTCCGAACTGTCCTTGCTTGCATGTCTATGGGGCCTACCAAGTCGGAGTGCTCGCGTTCTTAGGGTGATCGTG